TTTTTTTTTCTAACAACGGACCAAAAAATACAACTAAGAACATCCGCATTGAAGACAAATGTGGATGTCTTTAAATATAAAATTATTAAAATTTGAGTAAAAAGAAGAAAGTGAGTGTTTTTGGTTGAAATAATGGGGTGTATTGAAATATAAAATTAATAAAATTTGAGTAAAGAGAGGAGATAGTGGATATTGTTGGAGAGATTGTGTCTTTAGGAAGACATAAATAGTGACTTTTGGAGAGAGAATATGGATGTGTTTAAATATAAAATTAATAAAAGTTGAGTAAAAGAATGAAAGAGAAGGTATAAAGTTAAGTAAAAAGAAGAGAGAGTGTGTTTTTAATATTTGTTTATTTAAAGACATCCACAAAAGATGACGAATGCGGATGGTCTAACACTAACTATTAATTTACAAGATCGAAGACTGCAAAAATAGTCATCCATCACCAAGTTTTGATAAAAAAGTAGACACAACGTAACTCTAGCAACCAAAAAAATATACTACTAGGAACAATTCAAATCAAGTAGACGAAACTTGTGATTGCAATCTGATCTGTCTATTGAACCGGATGAAGTCTTCGACTCTTCTGTTCAACTCTTCGTTCGACAACTTTGAGAAGTCTTCAGATTCTTCTTTAACATTCTCCCATTTCTCCCGAACAACCATCCATTTCGATCTATCCGATTCGCTTCGACGATAACTTTTACGTTTGGCCTTTGTATCTCCGGTTATCTTCACCTTCCGTTGCTTATCTGATTTGCTTCGTCCGAACGGCTTAGGGTTCGTATGTTTTCTTGCATCACAAGCTTCTTCACTAGCCGCAATTTGATCAGTAACCGGTTTGTATTTCTCGATAGCTAGATCGTTTGTCGGCTTTTCCTCGCTCACCACTCTTCCTATCTTCTCGGGAGACGACGAAACACACACGATCTCTTTCACCATCGGTTCTTCTTCTTTAGGGTTCTTGATTACGACATCGATAGGGTTCTTGATTTCTTCATCTCTCGGAATTTCTTGGTACGTCATGACCGGAACAGAATAGTAGTTATCCGCACGGCTTCTCATCGCTGCCGTGGCAGTAGTATATTCACCGTAAACGTCGCGATTCTCTTTATCAGTGAAGGCGCCATAATCGGCGGCGATTATGAGGATGAGAGTATTGGAAATGAAGAACAAAACCTTTGTATTATTAAAAATCGACGCTGGAGACACTTCAAAAACGTAAAAGATCAAAATGTAAGAGAAGATCGATAAGAGGATAGAGAGCAGCATCGAAGAAGAGTAATGAGATCGTTTCTTTGGCTTGCAAGCCTCGAATTTAGGGCTCTCGATCATGTACGAGGGCATTTCCGTCATAACGTGTTTAGGAGAGGAATTCGAGAGATAATGGTGGAGAGTTATGTGGTTGTGTTTGATCTTTTGAGATTAGTAATAGTCTTTATATAGTGGTTCATGGATATGAATCATTGAGTTACATGAAATGTCGAAATTGCCCTTAGTATATTAATGGATTCTTGACACGATTCAATATTTGTCGCGTCATGGTGATTTACGTACGAGTTACGTGGAAACTAAAGGGCACTCACATTTGAAACATCTTGGTAGGTGCCCGGCAATTCATACTTAGTAATTATTAATATAAGGTGCATATCTTGTCTACCTTTTTTTTTTATATGATAATTATCTTGTCTACCTAAGAAATTACATTGTATAAAAATAAAAATAAAATGTTATGGTAAGATAGATACAAAACTAAATGAATTCGAGAAACATATTTTGTCAAGGCGATGATAGCATCGCGACTATTGGTAAAGCAGAATATCGACATGTCTAATTAGACAACAACACAATCAGATAGATTCTATTTTTTTTGTTCATTTATTTGTTTTTTAGACCTAAAATTAATTCTTACATTTATTTTCATTTTTTGAAAAAAAATTCTTACATTTAACTATATTATTACATTTAATTCTTACATTATGTTCGCTCCTTTAAATATATATTACCAATTTTGATATACAAAAACTAAATTAAAATCCTTTTATTACATTCTATTTAAAATATTCGGAAAGTTTTACTTGATTCTTTTTTTGTTTGTCTCAGTTTTACTTGATTCATGAAAACAAAATATGAGAACTGCTAAAATTATCTTCCATTCAGTTTTTATTATATCTATATTAGCGCTTTCTAGGTGTTGTCTAAACTCAATCTTAGCGCTTTTAGCATTAAGTACTAATCTAATATTCGACTAACATCTAGCGTTTCCTTTTCGAACCTTATTATAAGTTTATAACCACTTTCTTAGTTTCTTTAGATTACTTG